AATAGGCAGTGAGCGAAATGAGCCATGCTTGTGAGATTACCAAATAAATACAATTACTATTTTTTTGGATGAAATCCATCTAAATATATCCCTCGGAAATGCCGTCTTATTACTTGATTACCTTACTCTTTTGTTTTAATAAACCAACAAATTTGATGGCGTTGTTCGTCGGCATTTTGATATGGCGCTGATTTACATTACGAACGCTAGCAGTTCCCATATAATTGATGTTACGCAATTCGATGTTGTGTGGTCGCCCGTCGTCTGTATGACTGTGCTTATAACCTCCCTCATAGAATAAGTACATGTCAGTTTAGTAACCAAACGTTTTTATTGTGTTAAATTCTAAATTTTGGAAAGATTTTGAGGATTTCATAGCCGTTGACTTAAAGTTCAAGTTACACAGTCTTTCACAATTGTTGACCAATTCCTCTTAAATGGTATAATTCCAGCATACCTGACCAACCATTACTGTGCGATAGTCAGAGTCAAAAATCTTTTACATGTAAAATCCTCCAAGTCACTTCAGCGCTGGTGATGTTGGCCCTAGCATGACAGCCTCCTGTCACTTGCATCGGCAAATCAGGTCAATTGATCGTATTAACCACTTGAGTTTGGCCCAGCTACGAACGACGTGATGAGATGACCGCTCACGCCGAGACCACTAACAAGACGAATGCTGACCAAAAATATGATGAATTCATTCATGGTGCTCTGTTATATGCCTGCAACCGTGATTTCTTGCAAGTCCCATGTGATTAACAATGTAAATAATCAAGCCTCGAATGTATCATGATACTATAAACTTTATACCGTAAATGTATTGCAAGCGAAAGTTGATTTTATTCAAATGGGATGCACTTTCCGGAGAGTAATAACGCCCAGAATTGTTCGCGGCTTCATGGCCACATGATCAGCATTTGTCGCCGTTTAGGGCTGGCTAGCGAAATAACTAGTGAGTGAGAGAAAGGATGCTGCTGCCCTTAGAAAGCCACGCTTGTGTTGACCCTAAACCTTCACCATGTCTCGTCATTGACCTAGCTTTCTGTTTTTACCCACAGGCCGGGCTTGCCACATGCCCGATAGATCCGGTAGTATTAACCATTTTTATATAAGTATTTTTATTATTATTCTACTTCAATTCTTTACTATTTTATCTTTTGTGATATCACATCACTCTTATAAATATTACTTCCTTGTATTCAATTGCCGCCTTTACTACGTGTTTTTATTGTTTCTGTATGATACTCTGACGCCACGTAGATTTTCGCTTGCTCACCCAAATTACTTTTTGAAATACTCTTGATCAACGATGTTCATTTGTTGGCAACTTGTTTGTTGCCGTGTACTCTCATCCACTAAATACACGTGTGCTTCACCCATACCGAAATGTACAGGTTGTGTCAGTGTTACGAATTTCTTTCACTGTCCAGAAAGTCAACAGAAATCAATCACAGTCACGATCAATCGATACTTAAATTTTAAAGTTATTTTAATTTCAATTTTAAGTAGTAATTTTATAATTGTATTTATCCTCGTCATGAAATTTTAAATTTTATGATTTCATAAGAACGTTTGAACGTTAGGTCCATTTTCGTTAAAACTCTTATAGCGCTGTATTGCCTTTTGAGGCATTTGAGTCTAGTCTAAAATACTTATATACCCTAACAAAATTCGAGAACCGCCTAGGCTTCAGCCGAATAGTCACTACATTTGGTGCAAAGTTATTCTGGGTCTGCTTGGCCACCCGATCGAAATCAGTTTCTGGTGAGAATCTCCTAGCCGACTTTATAGTCGCCTGAGAGTATGACAAAGGTTGGCCGAGCCGAGTCATACCGAGCTAGCAAGCTGCCCTTCGAACCCTGAGCCGAAGCGAACATAGTGAAACTGATTTACGCGCTCCCCGACCCCTAGGCGGCCCTAATGCCGGATCGCGCACGCTTCTACATTTTTTTTAGGGTAGTATAGCTCACGACTTTTTAATTTTGATAACAGATTTTTCCTGCACAAAAAAATTCACTTTCTATTTTGACAATACTCCCAGAGTTTCGATCCCTGAAATTTGACTAGAATTTGTTAAAACCTTGTAGTTCCTCACCTCGCTTTTCCCGATTTTTAATGTAATTCGAGGATTTAGATCATCAAAAGCTCTCGATAAATTTTCGATTATACCAGCTCAGAATTGATCATGCACTTTTTCTGCCTAATGACGAACGTGATGTTCAAATCATTCCAGTGTGCCACGAGTTAATTTCACTTGTTAATCTTAAACTACATAAAAGTATCGAATTTCACTTGTTAATCTTAGAACTACATAAAAGTATCGGCCTGATGATCTGAATCTCTTGCTAAATTCCATGTAATGTTTTCAACCATTCGTAATTTTTCATTATTACTTGTCTGAGAGTATCAAAATGTGTAGATTTTCCCACCCTTTCCCCTGTTGACGCATTACCGTCTTTCCACACTTCCCTATTGTAGCACTCACACTGCGTATTGAGCATTCAATTTATTCAATTTATCTAATCGTTTTTATTAAAATTTTAGAGAACCTCGCTTCCTGTGCTCAGTGTTACTATACACTATGATTATTTTTCAATAAGTATTAGCTGGATGCAAAAATCTTGTCATGCTACCTGTTTTACTGCTTTTCACCTCACGATGCGTCTTTACAGCCATACAGCGTATACAAACGAATTCATTTGATATATTCAAAATCCTGGTGGATATACAGTGCAACTTCGTTGTTCTAATAATGATTCTTGAAGAAATATGTTGAAATAACTATTTTCGATTGCATCTGATTACAATTAAGTACAAAGATCGGCGCATGCCCGAAAATGTGATGATCCTATATACCAAAGTGTGATTCACGACCTAAGAAGCTGTGTTCTACACCACGCATTGATTATACACATGTATTCTCATGCATTTCATGCCGTGCAAAGCACATTCTGGCTGATCAACACTCTATTGTTACCACAGACGAACACAATTTTAACTTCCTAGATGTTCTATTGAGTGATCTCGAGTGGAAATATGTGAAAAATATTATTGCAGTGCCTGCTTAACGTCCCATCTTAATTCTGTTCTAAAGGGTGTACTTCGCCTATTTTTCTTCATCTATTTTAAAAATTTGGGATCGGGCAAATGGGATTGAAAGAACCGTCCGTATAGTTGGATGATGAGCCCTATGTCATATGATGAGCCCTAAACGTGATGAGCCCTGTTTCATGTTATTTACAAGTATTTACTTGCCTTATTTTACTCGCCAGTTAATTATGTATATATCTTCTACGGTGTTCTACATATATCAACGGTGTTCAACTATATCTTGCTACAATTATTCTATAGCTCTGAATTTTAGTTAAATTTGAATAGTTTTAACGGGCGTTGAATTAGTAAAGTACCTATTGTTTATTGGTCAATTTATTAAGTCGATTCTACTGAAACCGTTACTACTGTTTTTTCGTTTTTTGAGCTTTCTCATTCGCGGATGTGTTCTAAATAATTCAGAACTTGGAGAGCCATTAATTATTCCTAAGTTGAATATCATATAAGCGTATATCTCAACATCTCCGAGTATACCCAGAGTCACATTTCCAAGATAATTTGTACCCTATTATAGAGCCATTTCCCCTTAAATTTCTCCCAGAAATTCATAAATTAAGGGGAGCGTCTTGGTCCAAAATCGACAATTTAAGCTTTTCCTGTTTTTAGTCTCATCTTAAAGCTGACATTCTGACCTATCCAACGGTACCAAAACCATTTCTGTACGTTGATTTATGCGTTCACGACAGATCCCGAAAGGGAGGGGGGTGGGGGAGTTCTTTCACATTTAAGATGGGTAATAATTCCCGCAGTGCTCTATAAATCACTTATCTACAGACACTCAGCTCCAGTAACCTTGCTGCAGTCGTACGGGGTGGTTATTTCACCGTCGCTCGTACCATCCTTGACAGAAATTGAGCTCCAGTATCGTTTAGTCTCATTCTTTGCAGTGTTGAATGCCGATTTCGAGGCGCCCGGGACTTTGTCGGGCTCTACTGAACATTCACACTTATTGTCACTGGAAACCTATTTACTCCTACAGTTTCGATGCTACAGCAATGAGACATATACCATTCGATTCGTAAAGAAAAAATCTACAAATTGTTGTAGGCGTTTTTCTAATTTCGTTATAGTTTGTATTTTATTTTGCAAAAAGGGGGGGTGGAATGGGGTAAAATCGAAAAATTTCCGAAAAATTTACAAAAAATGCTCCCACACCCACGAAATTGGAAATTTCAATAAACGCCTACATCAATTTGTAGATATGGTCTTTACGCATCGAATGATATGTGTCTCGATGTTGTAGCTTGAAAATCCTAGGTCCGCTGATATTTCTACAGTACCCCCTTTTTTGTCCGTTTTCTAATAATTTCTCGTTTTCTTTCATTTTTTTCGAAAAATTCACATGAACAAAAAAGTCTTAGAATTGCGTTTTAGATACGTGTATTAAATTTCGAAGTGATCCGTCCGTAAATAAAAAAGTTTTTTTCGGACCAAGACGCTCCCCTTAAAAACAAGCCCTGAATTCATGTCGCCCTCTGCAAACATCACCTTAACTGGTCAGAGAAACAAAATGAATAATGTGTAGTGCTGTTACGAACGACTTAGGCATTTCCTTGGAAGTGAAGCAGTTATTTATGTCATCTGACCTAATTATATTCACATATCCACCCTGGAGGGCTGCGTTAAAATCTTGTCGAAATGGTAGGAAATAAAACTAACGATTGTTTGATTGCAAAGCCAAGCAAGTTCAGTAAGAAGCAAGTTGTCTGAAAATACTACACTTGAAGGCACAGGGTTGGTTGTGTTATAGCTAATAATACGTTTCAATTTGAGGAATCGGACGTGTTTTACGAATCAAAAACTCAGGTATATAAAGTTTTTTTTTCAACTTTAGATGTCTGATTCTGGTCGTGAAAATAATGAGAGTACATCCAAAAAATGACCAGAAGCCGAGTTTGTTTGCTCGCCTGATGGGCATAGCCGCGCCAACGGCGCCCGGCAGAAGCGCCCCTGCGTCGTCCAGGAATTCGCTGGCGCAGGACGAAGAGGAGTCCTCGGCCACCAAGACTCGCCGTGCCAACAATCCTCGCAAGCCCGGCCACGGCCCTCACCATCACGTAAGGTGAGCTGCAATACTCGCCATCTTGGCTATTGGTTGAGGAATATGGGTAGCATGCCTTTAGATATACATCTGTTCATATACAGCACTGATATGTGCAGTTTGATGTACACCTGTAAATAATATAGGTCTCTGATCTTGATACCCATTGATATGAAACTCATTTGATCTATGGGTTTCTGAGTATGATGTCATTAAAGAAATTTTCTACATTGCTTCAAAAATTTTATTGTTTGTGTCTTGAAGACTTTTTACATTGTGAGTTATTTTTAAGAATTCGATGCTGTGACGTTAATTCTGACGCTCGACAGCGATAAATATCATTTAATTGAAAAACACCGATATAGAGGGAAACATTTAGACGCAATACATACGTGCAAAAATTTATTTAGGGTAAAATTCACAATTTAGGGTAAGATTAACATTTTTGAACTCTGACCTCCCGAATGCTAAAATTAACTTATCTATCTAACTAAAACCAATTAAAATTTACATGAACCTATAAATAAGCTAAACTTAAACTAAATCTTCGATTTCGATACCATTACCTTTTAGAGATGAATAAGAGGACCACACACTAACATCTTGGTGGCATATTTGCATGAGAAAATCTAAATGAATTGACTAAAAACTACTGCAGATTCTGATGCGGGAGTCAATTTTCGGTTTATAGTACAGGTGACCCTAATGCCAGATTTTGTTTTCGATTAAAAAAACTGCTGATCCTAATGTTTCATTTTTTTCGGTTCATAACTACAACTAATGCTAGCCGGAATTCATTTACGCCTTTTCTTATATAACAACTTCTCTTAAAATATAAGTTGCTCCGTTCACATTGTTGGAGGCAATTTCGAACTGATTTTAGTTTTGACTGCCTTGTTGTTTACTGAGAAAATTATTGTTCGTGATTCTCATCGTCGAAGAAGCGTTAGCAACAAAAGGGATTCTCCAAAAATTTTAGAGCAAAGATAACGGCAAGTTAATTCATCATATCTTCATTGAAAACATTTCGGAAACCAGATCCGAGGCGTTTTCATCTATTCAAAAAATTTCAGAAAATATATGTACAATCAGCATTGAAAATCCTAATATACACTAATGAGCGTCTCACTCTGTTATGCGCCTTCATGCTGAACACTAGTGAACAGTGACATGTCTGACTGAAAGTGATTTCAAGATACTCGGTGTCATCTCGGGATTTAATGATTTGGGAACCGCTGCATATTTTGAACCTTGTCTTAGTAACGCATACAGCTTTTATCCCCTTGAAATTGTAAATCGATAGGATTTCATGTTCCGCTGTCGTTTTCTCGTAACTAAGGTGTTAATCTTTTTTGTGTTTGTTTGGATTTTTACTGCTGATTGTAGATGTATTTTGAACCTATGATGGAGCTTGTCTCCGGAACGTTTTCAATGAAGATCGGCTGAATTTATTTGACGTTTTCTTGCTCCTAAATTTTTTGGTGAACTTGCAGACTGATGATATCAAGACGGATTCCGTAACATTGAAAGAATGGAGTAGGTTCCAGGGAGGAAAGATTGACGATAGATTATTTTATTCAAATTGTGCAAATCCTCAAAGTGATTCTTTTTCTTTTCAGCACTGAATGAGTACGGGACGTGGAGCCTCGCACAGAAGGAGAGGACAGTCTCGACGTTAAACCCCCCCAGTTTTGTTGAATGGTTGCTTGCCTCCAAACGCGATCAAACAGTATTATAAAATGATATTGTTCACTTATATTGACTGCAAATTGAACGCAAGTTTCATCAGGCCAATTTTATTTCAGAGAATTTATTTATGACAATTTAACCAATCTGAAAAAGTGACTACGTGGCATGGGAATAGTTTTTCCCTGCTAGACCTTACAGATTTCCTTCATTTCAATTCCATTACTCGCAAGGACTGTGATGTTTGATCGGTTCGGAGGAAAAGCCATGATGTAGCAGTGCAGTGCATGACCCTACTTAGTGACATGTGGATCGCATGTTTAGGCAGTTGTGCACCACTAAACATGACCTGTACGAGGCGTTTGCGGCGGCAAACTTAGTTCTAAACATTTTCTTCAAGCTCCTGTACCGACATGTCACTCGGCAGGAAGCTAAATTGTGAAAAGACTGTACAACTTGTGTTGTCAGACCAAAATCATTCGACAAAATAGTGACTCGATATTCCAGCGAGATCAAGTGAATTGATTTTAATCAGGAATATTTTGCTGAAGATTCAATTGCTCCTCCCGGACTTACTCCTGGCAATTTGATTGCCAAGTAACACCCGACTGGCCAAGATTGCAAAGTGGCACCCGAATTCAGTTGTAATGTCCCTTATATTTTACTCCACGCCAAAAACAATGTTAAAATTTCTTTAGCTTAAATAGAGTTTTCGTGTTGTTTATCTGCTGAAATATCTTACTAGTCATATAGTCATTCAAACAACATCGCATCATCTTAATTTTTCATTGAGGAGAAATTTGGTGTCTCATATTGTCTGCTTTCTTGAGGCTTTGCATTCAAACAGAATAGCGATTGTGTGGAACTAGTCGGATGAAATAAATAATTTCTTATTTGGAGTAGATATTTAACGTTAACAATATTTTTTGGAGGTGCCATCTATAATTTGGCCGCATAATTTCCTTGAATAAAGTAAGCACTAAATGCCGTATGGTTTTGGTCCATTGACGACTAGCGATTGCGTGGAGGTGGTGTGACTGAACAGAATCCGACAATCACAAGTATTAGTTTTTCGAACTTGTGGAGTGAATCTTGTTGAAATGAAAAAAGTTATTTCACTACTCAATATCAAACGCTGCTCAAACTGGCCAAAATAAGTTTCAAATACGACCCATTAGCGAACGACGATGATTTTTTCATACTAAAAGATTCATGCCATGGTGTAGATTCAAATATGACTTATATAGAGTGTGTTGTTTGCCGTTGGTGTTGTGTTCGTGGCAACTAAACCAGTTACGCCGAGTGTTCATACGCGCGTTGTTTCTTCTATGTTACATTTCCGTCGCAATTGATGTTATGTTTGGTTGTTGTGATTCATGTTGTGAATGCTGTGTATTGTGATAACTTTAGCATTGAAAAACAATCAGCAACCTCGTGTATGACAAAGTTTTATCTAGTACTTGTTTTCGAACAATATCGCTTAGAAAAAGATACTTGACGGTGGTTATTTCCTTAGGCCATGTTGTTCCAGAGGTAGATTCCTACAACAAATTTGAATGAATTCTCTACACGAGCATGCATTATTATTATTAATATGTTTATGGCGATCGGATGCGAGCACTCTTGAGGTCAGAGCTCTCGTGAGGTCGGAGCACTCTTGAGGTCGGAGCACTCTTGAGGTCGGAGCACTCTTGAGGTCTGGCACTCTTGAGGTCGGAGCATTCTTGAGGTCGGAGCACTCTTGCGGTCGGAGGTGGGAGCACTCTTCTTGAGGAAGAGCACTCTTCCACTTGAGGTCAGAGAACGCTTGAAGTCGGAGTACTCTGAGATGCTTGACACAGTTGCAAGCTGTGATTACATTTGTCGTCAGCGCACAAATATCGCTGCACGCGGTAATATGTTGATCTCGTGAGGTCTTTTGAGCTCAGTTCTCCACCATTGATGTGTTTTCACTGCAGAAATCTTAGATTGTGAATGCCGAAACGACTTCTTTGGCAGCTCTGAGATTAGGGTGCCGTGTCCTGTTTAGTTAATAAATTATATTAAATTTGTTAGATTATTTTTGATGCTTGCACGAATGTCAAGGTGTAAAATATTCCACATTGAGACACCCAAAGCATGGAATTCACAACTGTTAACCGTTTGAATAACCTGTGTGCACATGTTTTAATCTGAAGTTCGACTCACTTCCAGAAAGAAAGTGTCGTGTCCTAGTTTTTTAGTAAAACACAAAGCCTGTGTGCCTCTCCCATGTAGCATAATATAGACTAATTAGACATGTGTTAAGCTTTTAAATCGTTTATGATTAAACAGTCACTGTTAAGAACTGACGTGAATTGTAAGAAGCTCTGCGACTGAGCCTTGCAGGACCGATCGTCCTGCACGTCAGACCTGGAGTTTCGACTTTAGCCGAACTGCCGTCGCTGCTTTCGTCAACCTAAATCTTGTCTTCAGTAGAGTTCTTGTATAATTTCGCTCATTGTAAAAATCTCACGATGCTTGAATTGTAAGTGATAACTTTTTAAATTATAAAAGCGGCGACGGTTATTGATATTCCGAAAGGCGTCTAAAAACGCGAATTTATAGATTTTTGCACATAGATTTCGTGAATTGTTACCACAGTTTTGACATGTTTTGTGAAGAGTTTCGTGTCTGTGATAAATCCCGTGTGTTTTTCCCTCCAGTTCATTAGCGTAAAGGATTACCCAAGCTAAGTGCAAGTTTCCTTAGCGTAACAAGTCACAATTGTGATGACTTGCCAAGCTTGTGTGTTTTTGTATTTTCAAATCGTACATGTTTTACGATAGTTTTAATTTTATCAGCTATTTTATTAGCTAATGTTGTAGCCCTAGATAGATTTTTGCTGTACAAATTTGGTGTACACTGTGATACACATTGAGACCAGTTGAATAATATTTACCTAGTATATTCTGTCTAAATCCTCGACCATTGTTCAATGTTCATGCCACTGAAGTGGCCACCTTGACACGTAAATTTCAAATTAATGCATAACGGTATTGAGTTGGTTAAATGTGTTCTCGTGCCACAGTCTAATTAAGCTTACAAACCAACCATTTTCTTTTATTTATTATTTTCCAGCCGCATTTTTACATTAATCAGTTAAAGGAATGAAGTAAAATTCAATCAACATTGCTGTGGGCTCATCTAGAGCTCCTAAAGTACGGACGTTAACGAGATGTCGGTTTCCTCTGAACATAAAATTATAGAATTCAATTGTCTTTTTTAAAACCCTAACAACATTATCTTAACAATTAAAACTCGAGTAATAATTTTATTTAAAGATAATGCAATAATAAAAGTTGCAATGGTAAGAAGTTTAGATGTGGCACCGGCACTGCCAACACGTCATCGACATGCCGTGCTTGTTCCCTAACAAAATTTAGAGTCGCCCCAGCTTCTGGTACTCCAAATCAGAAGCTGCCGCGTCTGTAAATTTTCACTGTAATAAAATTTAGAGTCGCCCCAGCTTCTGGTACTCCAAATCAGAAGCTGCCGCGTCTGTAAATTTTCACTGGGATAATTTATACGTGTCGCCTTCTCCTGTCCTTCCAAGTTCTTGCTTCATTAGACTTTAGAAAAAGTTATTTCAGTGATCACTTCCTATTGTTACTTTTAGCGAATTCGGTTTTGCGTGTGGAATTGTCTTCACTTTAGAAGTATTTTTAATATTTTTTGACGTACGGAGCTGCATTCTTTCATTTAATTAACGAGAACGTGTCGCTGTAACGTTGCACCTATAGTCTATGTTTGATGTATATCTGTTGATAACATTTCACGTTTATTTGGATTAAGTGAAATGTATGAAGTGTATTATTTAGCCATTCAATGGGAGATCTGGACCAGCAGTCATTCTGTTTACATGTTTCGAGGTATCCGTATGAGTAATATGGGATTCTTTTGCAGGCTGGTGATAGTAAGTATTTCGAAGTTTGATAGAGTCGCTGAAATTAATTGGCCTCAACATGGGCGCTAGGAAGGAATATGAATATTTGCAATTCTAGCTTATTTTCTGGCCAAATATCCTGCTAAATTTTTAATTTCTTTCGAATTTTCTCCACAATTTTTTTAAATTTCTGCTAAATCTCAAATTCAAATATAATTAAATCTTTCGAGCTGAAAAGCTAAGTAAAATAAAAATTCATAATAATTTAGACAGGAACCTTTAATAAATAAGCCTATTCACTTGATTATTAAAGACGGGTGACTTGATTGGAACGGCAAAATGTTGAAACTAAGAATTTTAAATTGAATGATAGTTAAAATCTGGAACACTGTTGTAGGGAACCCATAAAATCGGAAGCGCCTGCTCTGCTGCCGTTTGAATGCATGCACAACGAGAAGCTTAGAGTCGATGGTCACCTTTAGTCGCCAAGATTTTGATCGAGTCCCATAGGGAAATGTTTTGATCGCTTGTAATCAGTCTGAATGGCTGCTAATCAACCCCGATGGCTGCTAATCTTTCTCGATGGCTGCTAATCAATCCCGATGGCTGCTAATCACTCCTAATGGCTGCTAATCAGTCTCGATGGCTGCTAATCAATCCCGATGGCTGCTAATCACTCCTAATGGCTGTTAATCAGTCCTAATGGAAATCCTATAGCCCTAATGGCTGGCTATAACACGCCACTCTGTACAGATGGGTCTGGAGCTGGCCGAGGTGGTGCAGGCAGCATCACGGCGAGGCTCGCTGGCGTCTGAAGACGGCGGCGCTCACGGCCTGTCGCACTTCGGCACGCCGCGGGGCAAACACTTGCGCCCTGACGAGTTCCCTAGCAGGTACGGCTGAAGTTTATTAATATCAAGTGAAGGGAATTTTTGAAAAATATTAAGTATATTAATACTAAGTGAACAGAATTTTTGAAAATATTATGAACATTAATAACAAGTGAACAGAATGTTTGAAAAATATTAGGTATATTAATACCAAGTGAACAGAATTTTTGAAAATATTAAGTATATCAATACCAAGTGAAGGGAATTTTTAAAAATATTTAGTACATTAATACCAAGTGAACAGAATTTTTGAAAATATTAAGTATATCAATACCAAGTGAAGGGAATTTTTAAAAATATTTAGTACATTAATACCAAGTGAACAGAATTTTTGAAAATATTAAGTATATCAATACCAAGTGAAGAAAATGTTTGAAAAATATTAGTTATATTAATACCAAGTGAACAGAATTTTAGAAAAATATTAAGTCTATTAATACCAAGTAAACACAATTTTTGAAAAAATATTACGTATATTAATACCAAGTAAGCAGAATTTTTGAAAAATATATGCAATGATATCATCCACTCGGGTGGGAAACGATGGTTTAGGAGAAGTATGCGACATCTTGAGGACACTTTCTTCATTATTAAATTGAAAAAAAACATTCTTTCATTGCAAATTCCTATTTATTTGAAAATTTTATGCAGGTATCCCAGGTCACGGTCTCCCTCCCCAGCCAGAGGCTTCCAATCCCCAACAGTGCTACATCGGTCAGTACCTGAACAACTGATTTATTTATTGGCTATTTATAATGTAAAGTTTTACTCAGTAATGAGACATGTCGATCTTGTTATAAAGTGATATTCTATTAATAATGGTGACGTTGAAAAATGACGCACGTGAAATTACAATACACGGGAAGTAAAATAAGCTTATGTTACCTTTAGTTTTTAATAAGTTGCAATCAAACTTTAGCGTTCAGTTGCATTTTATATCTGATGTGTCTGAATAGAATATGAGGATAAGTTACTATTCCTGTAGCTAGTAAATAAAGATTACTGGAAGGTGGCATGACTGAATAGAAAACATCACAAATTCCGAGGACTGGGAAACGTAGATTTTGTTTGTTTTGCAACATTTTCACAGAAAAAATATGGTATCATATTTGTATGGACAAGATACGAATTACAGCTTTTATTTTCTGCCTTGTTGTCCAAAAATGTATGCAATGTGTATGCAAAAAATTTTGTGCAAAAAAACATGTGACAACGTCGCTAGAACAGTCGATGTCAGCAAAATAACATTTCCATAGCCATGCCCGCTCATGTAGTGATTTTATTGTTAGCTACTAACGATAAAAACAATAACAATAAATTGTATTGTTCGTTACTACTAAATTGCTACATTACTTAAATGTAGGCTTATATTCCTGCATTGTAAGGAGATTTGGTTGAGGCATATTTAATAAACGTAGTCAATTGTAACTGTAAAAATAAAGCCACTTATGAATAGGAAATATAGTGGTGAATATTTACTTGAAATAACGTTTATTTCGGTCGAAAAAATTATACTACAGAGGAAATATTTGTTTTTAGCGCATTTTTTATTTATGGAAAAAAATGCGCTATTGTGCTCGTCTTGTCCGTCCGTCCGTCCGTCCGTGATTTCACGGACGTACGGGCAATTAAGAAAATGCGCTCTCTGTCACTCACTGCAGTGAGTACTGATCTAATTTTTTTATCTCATTCCCAGGCGAGCGAGATCGCCGACGCCGATTCGGCGCAGTCCTTCGCCGTCCCGCGCCGGCGCGCGCTACGACGCGCTCAGCGACGCCGTGTCGGACGTCGTGGACATCTCCAAGCGAGGCAGACTGCGAGGTGAGAGGCTGTCCAAGCGAGGCAGACTGCGAGGTGAGAGGCTGTCCAAGCGAGGCAGACTGCGAGTTGAGAGGCTCGCTCAAGTCTAGAAAGAGGCCAGAAATTTTTTGATGATACTAAAGACCGGGGTTATAGACCGGACCCTTCTCGCACCACTTAAAGATACAGGGGTTGGACAAAAGAAGGAAGGGAAACAACTGTCATTTTGACATCGTAATTTTTGAACATGGTATAAACAATGAAAACGTGACAAATTTTCATGTTTTATTGTTTATTGTTGCTGCTAATTGATGTTTTATCCTCGTTCAGATATTTTAATAAATTTTTGTGTCTATAACCTAACTTATAAGTTATAACCAATAAATCTCAAACCTCTCTGACTTCCAAAGAGGCCAAATTGTTGGTGCCCGTATGGCAGGTGCTAGTGTGGCAGAAACTTCCCGAATGCTAGACGTTTCTAGAGGTACTGTCTCAAAAGTAATGACTGTTTTGAAAGAGAAGAAAAAACGTTCTGGTCTGGCCGGAAGTCGAAGTTATCTGAAAGAGACCGTGGGCACCGAAATCGAATTGTGAGGGACAATCGAAAGACCACGGCTGTTAAAATTACTGCAGACCTCGATAGACACCTACAGAACCCAGTTTCCATAATGACTCTGTCGAGAGCAGCACAGATCTGGATTCAATGGAAGAGCTGCAATTAGAAAACCTCTGGTTTCAAATACAAATGCTTCAAAGCGTTTAGTGTGGTGCAAAGCCCTACAGAATAGGTCCCTTAAGCAGTGTTCCCTTGAGCGTAACTATTTAGGAATTTTGGAGGACCAAATTCAGCCAATGGTTCCAGCACTGTTTCTGGAGAGAAACGCCATCTTTCACGATGATAATGCCCTGATCCATACAGCGGAAATTGTTATAAAAATGGCACGAGAAACATTCTAATGAAGTTGAGCATCTCATTAGGCCACCACAATCACTAGACCTGAAAATTATCGAGTATTTATGGACGATTTCAGATATGCAAGTCAGAAGTCGATTCCCGCCGCCATAGTCTTTAGGAGAGCTGGAGGGAGTTTTAGCTGATAAATTCTTTTGTTAACAAAAAAATTCCTTTGAAAACAATTCAAAATTTGTATGACTCAACACCTCGGATAATTGAGGCTGTAATTGCCGCAAAAGGTGGGTCTACACCATACTAAATTATATTTTGTGGATTTCTCAGGTGTTTCCCACATTTTGTCCAACCCCTCTATATAACAATGCTGTTTATCTGTAGCATTTAAATACTTTCTGACTAACATTTAATTCCGGAACCAGTGACAAGATAATTTAATAACAATACCTAAAAATGAAAAATACCACCTATGTCACTGTAAATGAACCATTCAATGATGTACAATTTAACTTTTTTACAATGATGTACACAAGTTTTTCTTTGTTTGACAGGACGTGGACCAAGTCCTCCAGGCCGAGGCGGAGATTCTTTCTCAGGCCGAGCTTGGAACGCTCGCAACGTTCGGTCAGCATCCAATAGCCCAGACCGCTTCTACCAAACAACGCGTCTTGATGCTCGTTCCCGCAGTCCATCTCCTCAGAGCAGTCACGCCGCACGGCGTGGCAGGTTATTACATTATTACGGCACAGCGTCACTGGAGAGACGGTCCCGCAGCCCTTCTCCTACCCACAGACAACGGGCTGGTAGCAGCTACCCTACGATCCCTCAAAGAAGAGGCGGTGGCAGACGGTTACCCCAAACTCCCAACAAGCCATCCACTCTGCATCTTTTCTCGCAGAGACACACACTTCCCAAGTCTCCGGGTAGAGGCCAACCAATCAATTTCCCAAAACTGAACGCATCCCCAACACATATTCCCAAGATAGATTTGCCTCCAAACCTCAGAGAACGTAGGACTCCACCACCTGTAGACGGGTGCGCGCGCCCTAGAATACCTCCTACTGTGAAGGTTTTGCCCCCTGCGGGGCCCCGGCGACCTCCTATCGCCCCCGTCCGTGAACAGTATCCGTACGAGCGGCCTATGCAGGAGCCACTGAGTTTCGAACAGGCGGTTGCCATCGGCCGAGGTAGTCGACAGTTGCCGTCGCCAGCTGTGCCCAATGGCTACAAGCCTGGCAGAGGTGGTGGTCCTTCCACTAGACTACCACTGCCTCCGCCATCCCAGTCCATATTGCCTCCTCTTCCTTCCCAGCAACCAACGACCACTACGCCGATTGTAGTAAGGCGTCCGCGACATAGCGACAGCGACGAGGACGACTGGTGCTAGGGTTTGTGTGGAGCAAAGGCAGTCTACTCTAGTCAATGCCTTTCATCAGCTTTTTGGATGCCACGAATCAGCAAGCTCGCTATTTTACGGCTAATTACGGTGGACAGCTACAAGGAAAAGTTGACTCGAGAAACGCATTTGCTAGGTAGTAAGTTTCTCCTTTGCTCCATATCCTAGAACCGTGCCAATAAAGTCTGGCTAGCAAGTAAACATCACAGTTCTATAAGTTTCTTATGAGTAGAGACGAGTCTATCAATATTTAACAATTAACAACTTTTTAATCTTTCTCGTGAATAGACTCACTGGAAGTACGGATCTTTTCAGAGTTAATTTTGTATCATATCCGTTACATGTGCTTTATTTGAAATACTACAATTATAATATTGAATCTGTGATATTTAAATGTCGCCGCCACCTTTAACCTCCTTAACGACTCTCTGTTGTAATCAGTCATGCAATTTTCTCTTGCCCATTTACCTGTGGTTAGTTTTTTGTGTGATGAGTCACAACTAGCGGTTCTGATAACAACTGTTCCAAATTAGCACAAGTGTTCTATGCTAAGTTTCTTCGTAGGAGCGATCATTGCGTAGCAGTAGCTAAAACGCTAGATTTCCTATTGATTTAGAGAACTGCAACCCATGCCATCATATTGACAATATTCTAGAGAGACATTCATAAGCCACTCGACAGTGTTTTTGCTACCGCATGAGACTGGCGAACCTTGTCGTTTTATTCGTGATGTTCGAATTGCGAAGTATTCAGAAATGTGGGGTGTTGCTCTGGTCTGGGGCTACAAGGAAATAAAATTTTAACGAATGTCATTAATTGAAGCCAATTGAATGTACATTGTCCGTGAGTTACACAGACTAGGATAAGGTGAGAAGCGATTGCTAACCATGAAGTATTTGATCGAGATTTCGAAAGCTCATGAACTTGCAATTCAGGTTCTTCATTTTCAGCTATCGAATTGAATATTTATTTAGAAAATTTAGATAAAATCTGTGTTGACTTACGCCCATACTAGATGGCTGCAGTGAAGTTAAAACCAAATTGCGTCCAGTCTCAAGGGATCAGATACCGACGTGCACACCGCGTGCAGTTGTTTTATGTAAGGTGTACTTCACGCGCAGCATGTTTAGGTTAGGCAGGCATACCTCGAGTGCAGTATGATTAGGTATGACTGGCTGCTCGTGAGTTATAGTAAGGCAAGATATACTTCATGAACTTTAGGTTCAATAACGACATTCTTCACACACAGTGTAGTTGGGCAAGATATTATCCAAGTGTAGCATGGTAAGGCAAGATTTGCTTCACAAGTGTTATGGTTGATCATGAATAACTCGAAGTGCAGTATGGTTGGATGAGGCATCACGTATGGTATGGTTGCTCGAGGCGCATTTCACGCTTTGTGTGGTTGGACGAGACGTTCTTAACCCTCTCCCGCCGTATGTCACTCTCCGGGAACATAATTTACAACTTACAAGTTAAATTATACGTAAACTATTGAGTGCAACATGTTGTTAAACTATTATTTAGCAACCTGAGGACGTTTGTACGCAACAGAGAACATTTTAGAGTAACTTTCAACTTAAATTATACGTAAACTATTGAGTGCAGCAACCTGAGGACGTTTGTACGCAACAGAGAACATTTTAAAGTTGTCGTACGTGGCTGCAACCATCAGTGCAAGTCATTTTGCGCTCACTAGAACGTATCTTTTTTGGGAAATAGGCTTGTGACAATATTACTCCGGTTACTCGTGTCAGGCGGTAGAGGGTTAATTTGAGAATAAGAACCGTCGACTGTTGAGCTCGTGTTCGTCTGCCCACAGAGACATGATGCTTCGCTCACGTTGAGCTTGTGCGCAACTGCCTCTCCTCTTTGAGTTTTGCCAATGTCTTGCCTCGCTCAAGTAGATGTGACCAATTAAAATGAAGGAAATTATAGTCCATTACAATTATTATCGTGATTGATATGCTTATCATGTAAGATAGGCCTCGAGTTCGATACTTGAATGCTAGCTTATTCATGTACGTTTGTTTTTATTACATGCATAGAAATGCTCCATTTTCTGTTATATCATCATCACTATTGCAGTAGCATAAGGACGGTAATGTTAATCTTGATTATTCTACTCTCATGAATCCCACTTAATCATTCCATGTAAAACCTTAATTTGATTTGTACCATCGACGTAGTGAAAATATGAAAATACTATACCTCTAATTATTTACACTGAAAAAAACATTGCATTGCCGTCAATTTTACGACTGTTAATGGAGTTTTTCATCAAATTCGAAAGCCTCCGTTTGACGTTTAATAATTTAGATTGGCTCGTTCGCAATTTAAGTCGCTGCCTCAGGCGTCAGTAGGTCACCTAATTTTTACAACACTTCTCTTTAACTTCACTTCTTGTTTGTCTGTCTGTCTGTCTGCTACAAATCTTGTAATCGAAATTTCGCACACTTCTACTTATCCTATCGATCTGAAATTTTGCACATTTGTGTAAAGTTGGAGACAATGCATGGATCAAATGTCAAAATAAATAATTTTAAAAATTAAAAAAAATTTTTTTTTTCAATATTAAAAAAATTGAAAAAATAATTTTTGTCAGCTACAAATCTTATAACTGATATTTGACACACTTATACCTGTCTAATTGATTTGAAATTTTGCACACTTGTGCGAAGTCAGAGGTAATGCATGAATAAATTAATAGAATAAATAATTTTGAAAAAAATTGCTATATTAAAAAAATTTATATATTAAAAAAATTGAAAAATTAATTTTTTTAATATTCAAAAATTAAATGAGAAATTCATTGTACATCTGTAAGATTGGAGACACTGGATTCTTTGGAAGTGTTGTCTTTAAAAAGTAATTTTTAAACGTATATTATTATATGATCTAAACTCTAGCTTAACTTTGAATTCACTAAATAGGATGCCTTTGACATGATCGAAATACTCGTGAGTCAAGAGACAAAAAAAAAAATGTGTTGCATCAGTAAAAATGTGTACTAGAATTTAAATAAGGGAAGTCCTTTGTATGAAAGGCAGGCTTAGTTCGAGGATATTATGCGGGATTCGTTATTTCGTTCTTGCAAAAGATCCGTGGTTGACAAACGTGTGGCAAAATTCTAATCTGCGTGCGCATAGTTTATTGAATCTCGGATCATACATACGTTATAATTACGTTAGTGTAATTGCTTATATAAGGGAGAAATTATTTAAAATAATCCTGTATTTAACCTGGATTATATTACATATATTACAGCTGTGTGAGCCTTGCTTCGACGGTAGTACTAATAGTCCACTGGTCACCATTTAAGATTGTCAGCATTTACCGGGCGTTTATGTTGAATGCTCGCTCCACTTGCGTGTAGGTTTCTTCCAAAAGTTCCTCGACATGCTTGTTGTCACTTGCAGGCTGGGTCGATAATAGGCGCTTTTTGAAGTGTTTTATTTTACCATGTAAATTATCTCCATTTTGGTGGTCCATGTCCTGTGGACCTGTCACAGCGGTTGTTGAAAATTTGGGGATGAAATTAATAATAGTTCATCATCGCGTCTTTAATCAATACATATAACAAGTCTTTAGATATTAAATTATTATTTTATGATCAATCACTGCCAAAATAAATGTCTCTCATGAGTAGCCACGGTCTTGTTGCCTGACAGACGATGAAACATGTAATCCACGAGTCTATCTGGATATTTGTATCAATTAATTTACAATTAATCGATTAATTGAACAATTAATTTATAATTACCGTAATTGTTTTAGTTATCGATTTCTGGAAATATTTATCTGTTTTTGGTATGGTGGAAAATAAAGAGGAGGAAGAAAGAGGAAATATACGTAATGATACGAGGTGAGCAACTCATTGTTGTTACTTTCATAATGAGATGGAAATTTAATTGATTGCTCTAACGTTTGCCGTGCACAGTTCAGTTAACAAGCTCTTCACAGCGATCGTATACTTCTTTGCAAACGCAGAATCTTTAATTCTTCCTCCACTAAAGAGTTTGAGGATACAATTTTTCTATTAACTGTGAGCTTTGCGTGTCTTTCGAATGGCTTAAATGCTACTTTTCTGCTGACACCGCGCATGCGTAGCAACTCTATCGTCATTTATTTCATGAATGTGAATGGTTTCTCTTCATTGCCTGATTATATGCAAAATTGTGTTAAATATCCGTTCAGAAATTTTTCAGCTTGATTATCCGCAAGTGGCAACGAAATTGGCCCAATTAAAGTTGGGTTCCTCGTAAATTTTATAAATTTTTCCCCTTCTAATTCGGATGAAAACAAAAACCTTTGATCGGAGACCTAATTTATTCGATAACAAGGTTTCTTCAGATAAATTCTAAAGTATATCGGAATAGATGTTCGTTAACTAAGCGACATATGGTCATATATTGTCTAGTGATTTTTTTTCGACTCATTTTCTCTATCGTGATCACTTTATCGTTGAATTATCATCATTATGTAAAGCCTTAAGACCTAGCTAAGACTCAAAGACATTCATAATATACATCTTCTCCATGATTTCTATTTTATGTATTATATGTATATGATCAGATCTTCCTCGTTGTTCATAAGAACTAATTTTATGTAGGTTATCTCTGACCACCAAAATATGTTTATTACTTTAAATTTATTGTTCGGCATCCTTTCTTCTTAAGTAATGAATGTCAATGTTCTACGAGCCTTAACATGCATGGAGCAAGAATATTATATAGCCTTCTTGCCTGAGCTGCTCTTCTAGCTCATAAGATCGTTGCTGTTAAATACTTTTCGAGTTTTCTATAAAAACTTCTCCTCTGAATGAGTAAAAAAACGTCCACGATATGACGTTAGTATTAAGACCTAACATGGTATATTTATTAGCTGGTTTGAGTGTTGGCCGACTCTGTAAACGCGAGAAATACCTTGATTGTCATGGAAATATGTAGGTAGGCCTATGAGGAGGCATGCGTTCGAATCACATTATCTTGTTTAGTTCATCACAATAACTGAGCATTACATTCATCCGACTCAAAACTATGAACTTCCACACAATTTTACTTCGAGTTGCTCTGAACACGACCTATTATTGAGTGCTCAATAATGAGGAACGAGTGACGGGAATAAAATTTCGTAGATATCCTAATCGTCGATCAAACACTCCCAACACTGTTCTCTAGGATGTTTGTCAGTCAACTCAAGTTGAAGCTAAACATCAAGTTCCTCTATTTATTTGCGCTAGAATTAGAATGAAATCAGAAGAAATATAGTTCTATATCGTAGTGTCACAATTCATTGCCACAGACAAGCCTTATAAAATGCATTGTTTTTATCAATATTCTTGAGAAATTTATTTATCATAAAACAATAATGAACATGAAAATTATTCCTGTTATTGTCACTTTTATTATAGAGAAGAATTTAAGTGGTTTAGTTAAGGAATGCAAGTACTCGTTGACGGATTTGTTAGTTAACAAAATGTAATTTAGTTAATGTTTTATGCTTAATAGTTTATATGAATCTATGGATAAATTTACGAGCTGATTATAGGAGAAGAAGATAATGTGAGAATCAGATCAGGCGTACTTATTTTAAATATAATTACTTGTTTAAAAATATAGAAGCTCATTGGCACCACTAACATATTAATAACAACTGTAGTTATCGAGCTCCGAGTGCTGTAAGCGGTTATTATAACTATAGTTATTATCGAGCTCTGAGTACCCTATATTTTATATTATTTCATCGTGCTCGAGCATTGTATGGGCTTTCACAGTTTTATCGACGGGAATTGAAATGCGTCTTGAACGAAAGTTTCACCCAGAACGTAAACTTGCCCACTGATTGAAGATTGAGTATTGGCAATTGCAATAGCATCACAAATTCGTTCATATAAGTTCGGATTGCTTTATATAAAATCGTATATTTTTAGTTATGCATACTCAACTACTGACATATCTTGATTCTCTAGCAGCGATTCGTACGTACATCGCGTGTAGCGAACGCAGACATCAAACCAATGTCGGGAGTTGGCGTTGCTTGTTGTGTCGGGTGGGCCATAATTTGCAGGTGACTAGTGGGCCCAAAGGTGCAGGGGATGAGTGGGCCCAAATGTGCAGGTGACTAGTGGGCCCAAATGTGCAGGTGACTAGCGGGCCCAAATGTGCACGGGATGAGTGGGCCCAAATGTGCAGGTGACTAGTGGGCCCAAATGTGCAGGTGACTAGTGGGCCCAAATGTGCAGGTGACTAGTGGGCCCAAATGTGCAGGTGACTAGTGGGCCCAAATGTGCTGGTGATGGATGAGCCTAAATGTGTTTTCAAAGGTCTTTCACTTCGTATTATTTTGGTTGGTCGGCATGCGAAACTCTTTGCTTAGGATTTGGACTGCAGTTTTCTAGAATAGTCTCTAATTTCTGCTAGAATTGTGTGCATGCAGGATCTATGAAAAAGTTCATTGCCATAGTGACTCACGTGAAAGAATAATCTTCTGAACTAGGCCTTATACAAATCAGTAACGTGTCCGTAGAACTAATCTTATCAGAATTTTATTATCTTGTAAACATATTATCATTTGAACGATCCCTCATGCTTGAGCTTAATTTGGTGTCCTCCTCCTATTCTCAAAAATATTTTTCGTTAGAAATTTTGTGTTCACAAGTATGATGACCCTGTAATGCTGCCAAATTTTGTACTTGCTTCGAATGTCGCTTAGAACGAAGAGCTCACGCTTTCGCGGTTCAATAACCGCCTGTTCCTGATACGAGTTCGTGAAGGCTGCACCAGACCTCTTACTCTCCTTACTGCGCTTATAAAAAATACAAAGTAAAATGGCTTCTCGCTTTCGCTCTGCTTGAATTATCTATGCGTATTCAGAAATAAATTGTAGTTTTTGGTTTCATCAAAACTGGTTCAGATATTGCTGCTCTCGTTTTGCCGAAGCCTGACGCAGATATGTTGTCTTTGAAGATAACACGTCTTTCATCACACACAAACCCGGTCTAGGTTACGTAGTGCAGAAGTTTTATCCTTTTCAACTTCCGCATGGTGAGGATTTTGAACTCCTCGCGAGCTTTTAATTATGAGTGGTTGAGGTGCAATGGATGCGACTTAGCGTGAGGCCTTTCACAATCGCTCATTGGATCTTGTAAATACTGCACTCTACCCTAAGGTGTCTTTTGATGATGATTTTGTACCAGTTATTCTTTCTCACTGATGCTATTATTCGAAGGAACTCGTAGTGGATGTACAGTAGATCTTTTTCACCATTGTGTGTTAGCTCGTTACTTATTCTGATGAGAAACTACCTATACACGATGGTTGTTCAGTCGCCAGTATGGCCAAGACAGCGGCAGATCGTGCGCTAATCAGCTCTATATATCATTGGATATTCCGATAATCAGTCGTATATGTAGCACTATCGACTGCGGTGCGTTGTACTAACTATCACTCATGTATATTCTCGCTAAAGTCGCCGTTCTGATATATACGATAATTGATTACTCATTGCCTGTTTCGGAAAGACGGTTATGATCTTTGAAATGCTATGGAACCAGTACTGCAAGTCTGTGAAATATTTTCAAATCAAGCTCTCAATTTACAATTCCTCTGTGAATTGACATTCAATTTTTAATCTTATGTCTTCTTTAATTACCATTCGTTAGAAAAGATTGTGTCCTCATAATTCGTGAACACTTTTTGGCATAAACTAACTCAAATTATCCGATTATAAAATAAATTTATCCATGTTCATAAGGAAATGTGAACCATAAACTAGATTCAAAATTGTAAGCATAGGCCATACATAGGATATGCATCTTCAAATAAATTTTATTTCTAACTTTACTTTTATTTCTGACTTCAATTCCTTGAATCTATACAGCATGTTGAAACTCGTTTTGGTGCCGTTATGTTAACTATATATTTGATTAGTTAATTGCACTATAGTAAATTCAGCAGTTAAATTAACTTCGATGCCGGTCCCCACTAGATGACCTCATCATTGACCGAACTCGTCTAACGCAGGCACCTCACTCGACGGTGGCAGAAGTAAAATCGATTCAATTTTTTGCTTTGCTCAATGCTGATCATGATCGATGAATGTGGAGGTCATGTGAGGATGAATTTCACGTGTTGTGCGTCTATGATAACGCCATGGATCACATTTTGTAGTTATTTGGGCGGGCAAATAGTTTCATTTTAGGGTGATCTAAGCAGCTTCGTTTCACATTGTCCTTGTTCATTTCAAGACGCATAAATGATCAAGTCTACTTGGCTGCAAAAAAGGAACTGATTCAAGATTGTGCCAGTCTCTGCCATCAACACGTTTTACAATTTCATTTAAAGTTTGTTATTCGCTCAAAGCGTTCATTTGCCTGCAGAAAATCTCCACTGTTTCTTACGCACTTGAAAATATTCTATCAGGCGTATTGGACGCTCTGCTTCAGTCATCCCAAGGACCTCATATCAAATCGAGTGTCGATTTGACGTGGGCAATTGCCGGCGCACAGCCTGCGTTCTGCCGGCGCTTACTGTTACGATTAGCTTTTTCGTGTTCATCTTCATTCAGTCCGCTGAATTTGCTTTATACGTGAGTAGTGCTGTTGAAGATATTGAGGGCATTAATTTTAGAGCCCAAAAGTTAGGTAGTATAATGGTGAACCAATATATATATCGTTGAACCACGACGCAGTACCATGCGAGATGCGACTTCCGTCTAGTTCCATTATCCTGAATGTTCATTCATATCAAAGTCAAATATTTACTTTTACAGTGGAATATAATTCACCTCAGTTGCCTACTTAGCCAGTTCATAACCGAACTCAATCATTTTCCCAAGCCGGATTTAAATTATGTTCCCAAACACCATTTACGAAAAAATAGACGTGTGGCTGTGTAAAATTATGCAAATGCGAACGACGTAAAACGCTGAGGTGAAAATTTAACAATCTTCAAAATAACACTTTTATTTAGTTAGACATTTTAGTTTATTTACGTCTGTATTTTCGAAAGTTGCATCTGTTACAAAATTGATAATAGGTTGAAATTGCCATGAAACAATCGTACAGCTGAGTAGGCTACTAAGAGTAAGATATTGGAATATTGAATATGGGCACTGGACTTGTCATCCGGAATCAGCACGAAGCAGTGCAGCACGCCAGCACCGTCAGGCGGTCAGGGTCGGTGCGCACTGCGCAGCCGTAGACTCAGGGTGTTAAATTCAGGCTGGATCAGAGCTGTGCATTACTTATCAGTTATCATTACTATTATTCTTATTTCTTCTGTAATTAGTTGAAACCTGACGGGCAGTTTGCAACTTCGCATTTGCAGCGTGTCAGTGTCAGCACTGAGCAGTGCCGTGCTGGACACAATGGACAAAAACATACCGAGGGGCGAGACTGCGAGAGGAAGCTAAATTATAAATGGCGCCTGCAATCACTCAGATTTGAATGAATTATGGAAACACCTCAAACACTTGCTCCAATAATGAAAATTCATAAATTTCCACTTTTAATCCGAGTGGAATTCCATCTCTTTCACTTAGTCTCTAAGTCTTTCACAAATCACAACCAGTCAACCACGTCCCTTTCCCTTAACTTTAATGATTAACACTACTGGCATTCTGGCAAGTGGCAACTGCCTGGTGGCTGGCGCTTGCTGAATACCTAATTTTTATTTCATTGTTTTTGCGTCATTAGCAAGGCAATAGCACCACACACCTGTGCATAGTGACAAACCACAGATTTTTTAGAATCAGTTCATTTTTAATTTCCTCATTTACTCACAATTTAAACCAATTTCTAATGTATAAAAATGCAGGTATCCAGGATACTTTACTGGTCTACAATCTCTACATATAGAACTCAAAAATGAACTTGAGGGAGAGTCTAAAAAACTTTCTGCTTTGCCACTATGCACCTGTGACCTATACCATTTGTTGAATTTCATTGCATCATTAGAAAAGATGGGTATGACATAGGTAATTAGGCTACTGTCAAAAGTGTCAAACAGAGTAGTACCTAAATACCTAATAAGTGATGGGCAGGGTAAATCAGGAGTATTCAGGAGTCAGGACAGCATAGTATTAGTGGCAAAGCAGAGAGTTTTTTAGACTCTCCCTCAAGTTCATTTTTGAGTCCTATTGGTAGACCAGTAAAGTATCCTGGATACCAGCATTAACATACTTAAGAAATTGGTTTAAATCTTGAGTAAATGAGGAAATTGAAAATGAACTGATTCTAAAAAAGCCCTGGTTTGCCACTGTCCTCAGCGTGGTTTGCCACGCTGAGGACAGTTGTCCCAGATTTTATAAAAATGTTGTAGCAGCTAAATTAATTATTTAATCATAGTATAGAGAAACTAAAAATAGTGGTGTAAAGCAGGATGGAATTCTAAAATTTACAGTTCATATATTATTTTTGCTACACCTAGACCAGTTTTTCGATACAACATTATTTGAGGCAAAAAAATTAACTTCTTATAGGCTTAAACACGTATAGGTAAAGGTATAAAAAGTTTCTATATTAAAAATTAATTTTTATTGAATTAAATTGTATTATTAATGCACTATATGGTATGTGCTCTATGTTTTATATAATGAAATAGTTTCCCATGTTAAACAATGAAAATTTTCTAAAAGACACAAAACGTTCAAAAACGCGGGATCGGGATGGCAGACAAAATCATTCAGAATTTGAAGTGAATTCATTAAGATAAATTTAACATAATAGGGCAAAAAATGGAAAAAATTCAAATCTGGAACGTATAAATAGGTTTTTATAGTTAAAAAAAAACTTTCAATCATTTAACTCTCAGAATGGAATGTGGATCAAGTCTAATTATTGTGAAATCAAACTTGACATGACCAAAAGCTATGCCTGTGACGCCGCCATGTCAGATATGATCGTGGAAACACCATGTGAATGTACGCCTTGGAAAAGTGGACGTTTATCTCATACTTTTGTGTGATATCGTAAACTTTGTTTGTATTGTCCAATCGTGAGAATTTTTTACGATTCTGGATGTGTTTTATTTTTATTTTAGAACGTATTCATTGCAAAATGTGTCCGCTAGCCTACAGATAAACGACTAGTTAACTTGATTAGTCGTTGGCAACACGGGATTGGATTTCAAACCACGCGCGATTTCGGAAGCACGGTAGGTCCCAATGAGCTCAGTTTATGAATTTTCATTGCAGTGGAAGGTGGTGTAACGCGGTGGTAGGGTTGGTATTTCGATACGTTTTCTTATATTGACATGAGAATATATTACCTATACAGAATTCCACACTGGACTGTAAAGTGTAAACTGTAAAGTTCAACATTTTTACTAGGTATATATCTATGTAACATAAAGCAAGTTAGGAAATTATGCATTTATCCTTTAGGACTACTTTTAAATTAAAAATCTATGAAAAATGTGATTTTGGAAAAGTAGACCTCTGCTAAGGTCTGTAGCAAAAAAAAAGTATTGCCATAGAAAATTTTTTACTCACATAGAAGTTGCACACAGGTGTTAGCAATGCTTAAAAATGTGATTGGCGGAATTTGCCTATCTCATTCCAAAAAAGGTGGTGCTATTTCTGCAGGAGTCAGGACGTTTTAATAAGGGATCACTAAAAGACAAGCCCTACTCAGATAGGCTCAAGACGCTGAAGTTACCATGCTTGGAAGTTGGAACACTGCCGGCTGAGGGGCGATATGATTGAGGTTTATAAATACCTACATCTACATGGCTACTATGATGTCTCACGCCCAAGTTTTGCTATGGCTAGAGCGAGAGACCTCCGAGGAAATTCCCTAAAAATCCAAAAGAGCCACTTCAGACTGAACATTAGAGGTAACTTTTTCTCTCAGCGCATTGTCACAAACTGGAATAGCTTGCCAGAGAATGTCGTCAAAGCACCATCTGTGGATACTTTCAAGAGTGGCGAGCCGCCTTGATAAACATTGGCTTCATCTGCTTACTCTCTATGCTATAATGCTCCGTCATGCCAGAACTAGACACTAACTTTTTTTGCAACCCAGCCGCCCCCGAATTTTGCTAATATTACAAAAGTTAGTACCGGTATAGTCTCAGAGAGACGAACAGGCCTCTGAGAAAGGCCTCAAGTGTCTAACTTGTCAAGTCAAGGGATGCCCCTAAAATCATATTTACTGTAGAACTGCAAGTGTGCAAGTGCAGCAAAGGCTCCAGTTCAATAAAAATCAATTAACAAAAAAAAAATTTTATTACTGTTAGGTACCTTGGTCAGTGCCAACAATTTCACTTTAACAAAAAATTAATGCATCATTGGTTATCACTAAATTGTGCAATTTGTGCATAGAATATCATTGATAGAATTGTGCACGGGCCACGGGGCAACATAGAATGAAAATTAATTAACCCAAACTATGATTTATTTCTCCAAAAATAGGATGGTTGTCACAGTGTCAGTGAGTGTCACTAATATATTCCTTTCTGTTTTATATTTATTTTTGTTATATACATAGTGAATTTACTTGACCCAATTAGAATGATTTGAAATTACAAGCCATCCTGTGAGCTTACTTACAGAAGAAATGCTACATGGCTGCTGATATGAAGCTTGCAGTGGACGAGGTTGTTGTAGGGTAAACGCGCCATATTCCGACATTGTGGGTAATTCCGACACTTCTCAACTTATTCCTTTATATTAAGCTTTGTCTTACTTCCACGCATGCATAGATGGTTGAAATAGTGACTTCATACTATTGCCCACCAGATTCTCACAAAACACTGGGTCTGGCAGGAAAATGTTAAGATCCTCAGAGCAAAAGTCCAAGTCAACTAGTGAGAACATCGAAACACTTGTCAAACACAGTCAAAGTTGATAGTTGACCTTGCTCTACCAAATGGTGATAAACTGTTTGTGTAGAAAGCATATTATGGTTTGAGACTTTTAAATAAGTCTGTGAATATATTAGGAATCCTTTAAGTATACCTGTATTTGCTGAATTTAAGTGGTAAATAAATTAATAGATGATTAAGTTAAGAGATGGTTTTAGACACATAAAAATTAATTCCGACACAGCTTGGAATTGGACACACACAGCTCGTTCTGAGCTGTGTTCAAAAATTAAAATTGTCTTGATTAAAAGCCTAATAGCTCTTGATTAAATGCTTAATTAAAAAATTAAAATTTTTTAATTAAGCAACTTAATTTAAAAATGTAATTAATTAAAAAATTAAAATTTTTTAATTAAGCTCGTTTCGAGCTGTGTCTACCGTACCGTAAACTGGGGTAACTTAGACCACTTTTTTTTTTTAAATGATGCCATTTTTTTACTAGATAAGTTAAACTTAAATTGAAACATGCAAAATACAGGTCTATACTATAGCTTCACTCACCATAAATTGCTGGCTCCTGCCTCTCATAGTTTTGATGTAATTTAAAAAAAATTGATGGTCTTTTTTACCCCAGCTCTGGGGGTATCTTAGACTGTTTGGTAAAATCAGTTATATTTTTTTTATTAGATATGCAAACTTTTTAAATCTTTCTATTGTGTTACGTAGCCTCAGTATTATGACTTTAATGCCCATTGACAGAATTTTTCTACGTCAAATAGTTTTTGAGTTTTGGGGTTTTTGTTAAAAAAACGAAAAGTGGTCTAAGTTACCCCAGTTTACGGTATTCCTATACAGCTCACACAGGGCATTGGAATTCCAACACAGGGCATCGGAATTACAAATTAGTAAAAGTTTGAAGCGCTGTTGGAATTAGTCTCACAATATGCCGAATTTAGTCACACACAGCGTCGGAATTCTGGGATTTAGTAGATTTGAATTCTAAAGGCTTTTAAATAAATATGGCAACAGTTTGTGTTGTTTCATCATTGCTGGCACGTAGTGTGGTGTTTTGAGAGTGGCATAAAGCAATCAGAACTTGAGTTGCGCATACGGTGATCTTTTTATAGCCATTCATTTCTTGGTACGTCCTTAATGTGTCGGAATATGGGGTGTTTACCCTAAATGCACAATTACATGTCCAGGCATGAATACGGTAATATCAAATCAATAGTAATGCAATAATGTATGGATATGGTAATATTATATGGATCAATAAAGAAAAAATTAGATCAGTCCTCACTGTGATGAGTGACAGAGAGCGCATTTTCTTGTCGACGAAAACTTGAGGTCACGGAGGGACAGATAGACAGACAGACGGACGGACATGGCGAGCACAATAATGCATTTTTTCCGTAAATGAGAAAATGCGCTAAAAACAAGTAAAAATCACAGAAGATGTAATTTATTCTACGTCTTCTTCCTTACCTAATCATTTATTATTGGTAAAAGCTTTATATACCCTGCCTTATCAGGGTGTCATGTGTTACAACTAATAGATTCATCCCTTTCACAAGGTTACCAGGTCACAAGTCAGCCTGTTTGTTTTTGTGTTCCCGAGGCACTGTGTGTCAAGTTGAACTCTAATGCAAACTTAACCTACCATGAAAATATTACTTTTCATTTACTTGAGGTATTGACAGTGAACGGGTTTGTTTATGTTCACAAGAATATATAGGTGTTTTTTGATAGTAGGAATTATAAAGGAAAAAATAATTTTAATATCAAAAAATTTGGAAAACAAAAATCCAATGTCTATATTAATTTTACTAGCAACCTAACATGGTGTTGTTTATTCCCTGAGGTAGAATGTATATAAACAAAATCCTAAGTACTGCATGTGAATCAATGTCCATATTTGCTCAAATATAATTCAAATTAATATTGGATTTAGCTCCAGCAAGGACTTTCAGGAGAGGTGGAATAACCAAGACAGCTTACAATAAGTTTACAGATCTGGGATGTGAAAGAATACCATAGTGTGTGCTCAGTTGAGACTTGGTACCGGTCTTGGATATATGATGATTAGTTTAGCTCTGTTGATTTGCTGATTGAAACACATTTTACATAAACATCAATACAATACTTGAGTTATGGTGCCATTGAAGATTGCTATTGTGAAGAGTCATATGACCTAAAGTGTTGAATATGTTACTGTATAGATTTTTTAAATTTTCCCTGAGTGTGGTCATCATTTCTCATGGAACTGCCTGGAATAGATGGCCATTAGCATCTCTATGAATTTATTTCATATCAATGTAATTCTGTATTATGTTATTATTCACAGTCAAGATTAAAAGATGGAAGATTTGAGAAAAAAGTTTGACAAGTGGCTCATGAGATACCATAATTACACGTACCAAGTGTACGATGTCAAAAATTTCAAAGCTCCCGATTGGCGGAGTTACAAAGTGGACGATTATCCTGAACTTGTCAGAGTGCGCAACGCCCTTGCTTCTCATGGGCTCAAGGATCCCTGGTTGAGGTGAGCTGAGTGCATTCTAATTTATTTCACTTTGGTAACTTAATTTTATTTTTTAATTCATTTTTTTCCTAACTTTTCATTTATTCCATGTATATTTTGTTTATTTCACTTTTTAAAGTTAATCTCCACAGGGCTAACATTAAACAAAACATACAATTTGTTCTGGACATTTTCCTTATCTAACTTCCTAACTTCAATTTCCTATTATTATTTTATTAAATGATCAAATTCTTTATCTTTTATAATTATTATTTATTCTATTTCTGATGAATTGACCAAAATATTAGGTAGGTGTTAGTGGTCCAGTGATGCTTCTATATTCCACTACTGATATAATAAATTACAATTTCTGATGTCTGAAGCCAAGCACCATGCAACTAAATTAAGTTGCTTTCTTTTTTGGCTAGACAAGTCCACTCATTGCAGTTAGCTTCTGTCACTTGTTGCTAGTCGATAGATTTAATTTACAGCAAGGAGGATGGGCAATAACGTTGTACTGTGAAATTCGGATTAGAAATGGAACTGTAAGGAAAAAAATACGAATCAAACTCTGTGCTCAGTTTCATCTATAGTCTAACCTATATAGTGTAACTTTCAATTATAACTGACGCAGTTGCACATTAAACTGTTGTTTGGTTGAAATACATTAAAAGAAGAGCCATTGCTCAAGAACGAAATAATTTAAAGAAATATGCACACCAGCACTGTGCTTGTGTGCAGTTACTTAATTGAAGGTGCTATTCTCATAATGTACTACTCTGCTAATGTTTTAGTTTAACATTTGATTGCATGTCTCCAATGCAGGAATGAGTGCTGGCGCTTCAACCCGGCATTTGGCGAGACGCATCGCAACGTTCTCAGAACTGTCTTCAGAGGCTGGAAGCTTGGCTTGGTCGCTGCCGTGTCTCTGTACTTCGTAAATAACGTTATCTTTCCTGAGGAGCCTCATCACGGCGACCATCATTGATGCCCAAAAGTTTCGTGAGGGCTCAAGCTCGATAATGTTAGTGTGTTGCCTGAGAAGGCGCAGGTATGATGACGGTAAAGGTTTGCAAGTATTTGCTATTGTTTTTTCAGTTATTAATGAGATTTGTTATCCTTAACTACATTTGAGTACTCGTATTTGTTATTCTCAACTATACATCGCTCATAATTGTAGCGTCTGCTGTGGGAACATTAGCAGTAAAGTTAAACTTCATCCTTTTCGTTGAAAGACTTCAAGTATTGCCAAAGTTTGTACATTGTGCTGCTACGACTGAAAAATTTCTTTCCCCACAAATGAGTTCAATGTTTAGTCTGTTAATTTTGGAGATTTTTTACACTGAGCCGCTCGAATACTAAAATTTTAATAGTAGGCTATTTATGAATAGTGAATTTCTAGCTGCAGAATTAACCTGTAATAAGAAAAGATTTGCCTGTAAATACAATATAATTGCTTACCTGTTGCATAACATTTTCATGTTGCGAATAGTTAAGTTGAAATGAACCCGATAGATCAATACATCCTTCAAATTAGTGGCTCGCGGTTACCCTACTTTCTTTTATTCAACACTCGACCTGTGCATACAGCTGCGTCTCTTCATGGGCCATTCATAATGCGCACATAATTTGTTTTAAGCCCATGCTAACCCAACAGGTTGCCTATGGTAACAGTTCCCTGTATGGTTAATGTATTTAGCTAAAGGCCATTCAAGTATTTCTGGTCCTTTTACGGCTTTCTTGATCCCTATTTTATTCTAATCTGAATAATACAAAGGTGCAATTAATAGGAGAATGCAGACACTTAAATCTTCTTAAGCGAATAGTATAAAGTGTCGGCGTTGAAGAAATAGGCCCATGGCCTGTTGCCGATTCTTGTACTTTTCGCGACTTGATTCACAAGGGATCCGGTCTTTGGAACCCGATCTTTCCATAGCTGACGATTGATTGAGATAGCTGCTGGACTTATTGCCTGGTCCGTAATTTGCTAGGCATTTTAAGACTGAACATATGCTCCTGCATAGCTCCAATAGCAGCGAGGAATACGAAGGAACGTTGTACTGTGGTGGTCTGCGATAACGAGTCTATAGAATACCAAGCAAGAGGACTGACGAGTTAGCTGTGGTTAAGAAAATTATATATCGTGAACAATATTCTATTGGAACTTGGCATTGTAGAACAAAATAATTATTGCAGTTCAGTCCACGGAAAAATCGGTCCTTAATGTAAAATTTAGATCAATAATCGCATTGGTTCATGAATTGCGTGTTCAGATTATCAATGTGCTAGATCGCCGTACTGCTGCACATTATACTTCTGAAAAACTGTTGTCGGTAACATAAATTTGTGTCTTCATTCGCTATTTTTTAGTTCATCTGGAAAACTGAAGAAATATGTACATTCCAGGCAGCAAGGTATGGGAAACTATGAACCTCTCGAAAAGATGCACTAAATTTTGTAGATAATACAAAGCTATTGGCGGTAGCGAAACCCTGTAAATGTATATTTAGCCTTGAACAGATTAATTTGCAATTAACAAAAAAACATTAGAAATATTACAGAAAATTGTACATTTTATTCGGAAAATCCTAGGTACACTTACCAGACTGAAAATAATTTCTAACTTTTGAACCTAGGTCGTCTTCCATTTTGTCATCGTAATTTGTTTGAACAGGGAAGCTTTTTCGTCGTTACGAAGCATTTCATCCTGGCATCGAATATGCCAAGAAACAAGCTAAAAATATCCAACTTAAATAACATGAAAATAAATAAAAGAACAGACTAACACGAGCGTATGCCTTGATTCAACTTAAGAAAATCTCACTAATATAATGATGAAAAATGCCTCTCTGATCAAACAAATTTGGTGGCCCAGTGGTTAAAGTTCAGAGTACCAAGATTGGAGCAGAGAGGCGCGGGTTCGATCCCAGCTCTGTGCGCCAGTTTCTGGTCAGAATCGGCAAGGAGGCCGGGCGGTTAATCACAGCAGAATTGAAGCAGTGAGTTGCGCGTTCGAGACCGCAACAAGCTGTGATTATTCTGCGATGTTAAGAATCGGCGACAGGCCTACGGCCTAATAAACGCTGAAACCGCTATTGCTATATTACTGAATTGCGATGCAATAACCGAGTCTACGTGACCATCAGTACATAACACTGCCTATAGGAAACCATGTGGTACGCAGTTATTCGTAATTTCCTTCCGGAATGTTGGAATAAAACCATGGCTCGCCTCGAATTAAGAAGGATATTTCAACAATCCCGACCGAAGTTTCAAAATACGGCCACGCTCGACACCTCAACAGGCGGCGTCCCAGTCTAGGCCTCTTCTGCATTACTTCACCTCTCGCCATACGGGAAGTGACTGACGATGAAGTAGATATTATAAAATATAATTATACTGGTTGTTGATTGATGCAAGAAGTGAACTTGATCGTTACTTAATGCTAGATAATTGCCATTTCAACTTCACGCAGAAGTGTTTCTTCATCTTTATAATTAGTTCAATTTAACTGGAGAAATGAAAATTTTCGATTATAGCTCGTAAAAGTTCAAGAAATATAGTAATAGCAACTCATGAAAAAAACAAAGCTTTTGCAAAATTAGCATTAAGGCATAAATTGCAGTTGTAAATTTACAAAGGTGTCGAGGTAGATTTAACAGAAACTGTGCGTAATTTCTTAACTTAGATAATAAAGAGTCGAAAGTTCGGCTCGGCTGCGTACGCGATAATTACAATTTTTACAGATAATGGACACAAAATTACAACTGACGAATGGCTCAAGTGACACCAGCGGTGACACGCACCCAGGCACTCCTAGCATGAGACGCTACAGTTATGTTCTTGCATTGAAAATTATGTTGGGTAACACAATTTTTCAAATTTTATATTCACTACCGAGATTTGAGTATTGACTATTGATAGTTATAGAGCAGAAAATCGCGTACGAATATTTTTGAAGAAACAGGAAAGCGTGAGGATGTCTGACATTATCATCAAAGAAAAAAAAAAGATTCAACAAGATAGTTTCCTACTTAATCAAAGTACAGTAGATATATCGTTCCAGCCTGTATCCTGCCAGAAGACAGATCTTGGCCCGGTGTCTCATTCTGTATAGAAGATTTTAATGCGTGGTGATAGAGATTCAGAATTTAAATCCAATAGAACAATCTGATTTGGCATAATTCATAAACAGGAATTGAATGTAAACATTTTGCAAGTTCACCCTAAGGAGCACTTAGTCCATGGAGGAATCTCGCGAGACTAGAGGCCAACATGAGCTGTCTTGACATTCTGGTCCTCGGCGACCTGATACATGACATCGAGTCCGATGATGGTGCGCTGAGGCTGGAGGTTGAGGCCTGGCTGCTGGTGGTGATACTGATGAGGCACCTGCTGGTTGTTGGGTAATTGATGGACGACGTGGACAGCACACTCATCTTCACAAGAGTTAGAGTGCATCAGATTGTGCTGATGGTGATGGTGGTAGTGGTGATGATGGTGGTGGTGTTGGTGGTGGAGATCTTGATGAATAATATTACCGTGCGAGTCTAGGATGATCTGCTGGTGTTCAGAACCCGAGTTCTCGGTTATTTCTGTGACGACCATAGAAGATTCTTCTTCTTGTCCATTAATGTCAGAGTATGAAGCGAGGGAACGCTCTACAGCCACAGGGCTCTCCTGGATCAACGCTTCCTTGTGCAGGTCAGAATCTCCATGGTCGGATCCTTGCTGCTCCTCAGACACACGAAGCTCCTGCTGTGGACAACCCAATGATAAATTATTGCTCACTTCATCCATCCCGTCTCGGCGTTCGAAAATTTTTGCCAAAGGTAAACCCTCGAAGCGCTTCTTACGGAGGTAGTTATCAGAGTATGTGAACTCGGGCGGAACGCTGTGCTTGCTCACAAGATGGTTACGCAGGCCGCTCCTGTCGTAGTATTCCTTGCCGCAATAGCTGCACACTTCTGCTTTACGACGGTCGTTGTGAACGCGCTTCACGTGAGTGTTAAGCTCGCCCACGCGCTTGTAGCTTTTATTGCAAATATGGCAGAAAAATGCAGGCTTCTCATGCATCTTGACCCGATGATAACGCAAGGCATCGGAAGTAGGGAACTTTTCATTGCATTGCTTACACGCGTACAGTAGGATGTTCAAGTGGACAACATTAACATGTCGCAGAAGATCAGTTTTCGTGGCATATTTCTCCCCACATCGATCACACTGTTCTTTAAAATCAGAGTGCATTTTTATTTTATGCATTTTAAGAGAGACTTTGAGGACAGTTTTGCCACAGGTCTCGCACTGAACTTGCTCTTTGGCAGCGTAACCACACTGAGCTTCTTGGTGATCCTTGAGTTTCTTGGCGGATGTGGCCATGAAGCCACAGTCGCTGCACAGAAACTCTGCACTCTTCTTGTAGTTCAGGACTTTGTTATGATGCTTGCGCATGTGGAACGTCAGGCCAGGTAAGCTGCCAAGCTTTGTGCCACAGTCACCGCAAGTGAAGTCATTAGCGGCTTCTCCCGCATCGTTCAAGTGTTTGCTATTAATGTGAAGTTTAAGCCTATATTTGAACAAGAACGTATCGCCACACTCTTCACACACATACGACTTGTCTTTGAAAGCAGATTTGGAACGACCTTTGCCATTAGTATGATAGAGCTCGTGGTGATACGATAAATCATCCTTGCGCAAGAATATTTTATCACAGTCTTTGCAAGGATGACTCGTCCCTAAACTATTAGCTTTATCCTTATTAAAGTAAGTTATGAGCCCCGTGTCCAGCACAGTTTCCTCCACCTCTAGAGGGGTGTTGTCGACCACGGTATGCTTCTCTTTCCTGTGAGAGATGAGGTCGCTGTATTTCTTGAACTCCTCTCTACACTCGGAACAATTAAAAATTTTAGGTCCTCTGCAAGATGACGTATTTTGCTTGTTTGAGTTTGAATACTGGCCATCGAGGCCTCGGCCTATCAATGTTGATCTAACAAGAGGCCTGTCTCTCCCCCTGCCTCTACCTCTTCGACCACGGCCTCTTCCTTTACTTCTGGCAGAGATGAATTTCTTTTTCGGCTTCGGCTCAAAATACTGGTCGTCATAGCAGTAATTCAAATCAGAGTTTGGATCATAAGCATCATCGTTTGGTTCCAGTTTCATGCACGTCTGAATAGCTTCCGTAAAAACGGTGGCCTTTCTTTTACGGCCGCGTTTGCTGTAGGAGATGCGCGATGAAGCGACATCTGGAGGCTCCTGCTTCATCACTATGTCGCCCGACGCGTCCTCCTCGACCGAGATAACAGAATCAGCTTCGACTTCCAGGGTCGGGGAGGAGGGATCGTTGCCCATGACGATGTTACAGGAGTCGTCTCGCGTCGCGTTGTTCCTACTCGTCTGGTACAGCCCCCGAAGCTCCTGCTTTATCTTGTCGTGTCGATGTAGCACCGCGTCACCTTCGTTCACCAGGGTCGTGCAGCGGGAACATAGCATCGTAGTCGACTCGAAATTTATAAGTTTGTGCCCCACTAACTGCTCCAGCAACTGCAGCACCTGCACAACATTAACGCATTAGTGCTTAAGCAATATGCATGAATTCAAAATTAGAAATCTGAGGCAAAAAGAAGATTCTCATTCTAAAAGATTCTCAGACCCAATAAATCTACTAGAAACTCTAAGGAACCTGCAATTCCATATTAAGCAAAAATGAAATAGTGGTTAATAGTAAACTATATTTAATTGCATTGAATGGAGCTAAAAAGCATATCCGGCCAGATTATTCCATAGCAGCTTAATTTAGTGAAGATAAAAGAATATAGAAAAGACAGATATCTTTATAAAAGATTACAAATAAAGATAAAAAAATCAATGTAGTCGTCATGAGAATAGCCTTTTGATTCAACGAGGGAAAATTCATTTGACTACGGATATAGATCATATTTTCCACGATTTTCCAAGTTGCATTGAAGGTTAAGTGACCCAGGTAGAAACATATGTATTATATTCAACACGATTGTCAATGAAGCAATATACATGAGAACAATATGCACTACATCGTTAATTATCCACGGAAAATACAGGTTCAAATTCGCAGTGAAAACATTGACGTCACTCTATATCGTTAATTATTCACGGAACATAGAACTCACAGTTGAAGCAATGTACCGTACATCAACAGTTTACACTACATCTTTAATTATTCACGAAACATTCATGTAAATTCATGGTGAAAACAATATAGGTATATGCATATATATCCGAACATTATCCACGACACAATCATGTTAAATTCACGCTGAAAACAATATGGACATATTCATATATATCCGAACATTATCCACGACACATTCATGTTAAATTCACGCTGAAAACAATATAGGTATATGTAGGTATATATCGGAACAATATAAACACATCGTTGATTATGCAGGGAACATGACACTAACAGTGTTCTGAGTGTGCAGAAGTCGCTGGTCGTTCTCAAAGAAGAAGTAATCAGCGACGTTGGTGCCGTTGACAGAGCAGAGAAAGCAGCGGTAGATGCGCGTCGGCTTCACCTCACTGCGCTGCACTTCACTGACAGCCTCTTTGCCGGGATCGTCTTGTGGAGTTTCGTAGGTAACTGCACAAAATAAATAATAAATTTCGTAGGTGACTGCAGAAAATAAATAATAAATTTCGTAGGTGACTGCACAAAATAAATAATAAATTTCGTAGGTAACGCACGGCAATTTTAAAGATCACCATCAAACCATCAGATGAACATCTTGAGGCGTTTCGTTGGTAACTGGACAAAATACTAAACCCTGATTCAAAATTCATTAGCATTTTTGAAGACTAAAATCAAACCACCAAAGGAACCATGTATAATAAATATATATACCTACAGCGAAGAACACGTGCATAACAACGTTTACTCTGATCGTGGAGATAAATTTTCGATAGATTCAACTGCAGCAGCTGTGAAAAATATAGTCAGAGTTTCAATAGACAAATAGAATTATTTGTAACAGGACTTTAAAAAGGACGGGAAAAACGTTTCGTCGGCATATCAGAATAATTAAAATTACACTTCCATTTTAATTTGAGCTGTGACGCAAAGAAACCAACTTATGAACAGTTCTACTCAAGGTCCCTCGACCTGAGCGCATATCGTGGATTGAATCAAACCGAGCTTACTTCTAAATGCAGCTTGAAATATAATATTAGGTGTGACGGAAAAATAGTAAGTAATTTGAAGATACGGCACCCTGCACACATGCGTCACATCAAAGGATTCAGTGGCAGTGGATTTTACTTTAATTGACAACTCAACACTCAGCAAATCAGTTATACGTCGTGCCGAAATTGCGGAATTGGCGATTCAATGGAATTGGCAGCCAGTTTGCTGAATCTGTAGAATCCGCATTTTGTTGCTGATTACGAAAATCGACGTTTGAGTTAGAAGATAAATCGACAGTTAGAGTAAGAAATGGTTAGGTCAAGTTCGGTCTAGTTCCTTTATATTTAAATATTAAAAAAAACTTGGCTGACTGACCTAACCTCAGATTCCTATAGTATATATAGAAATGCTGATTCTACAGATTCGACAAACTGGCTGTCGATTCCATAGAATAGGTAATTCCGCGATTTCGGCACGACTTATACATGAACGAGATTCATCAACTTCTGCCTCAAATGTCAACACATGTAATACTACCTTAACTCATAAATAAAACTTAACTATTCATAGTCCGATACAATGCCGATATTATTCCTGCAATGCCTCCTCTTGACTCTTACCTCCACACATTTTAGACTCTGCTATTAACACTTTGTTTGGAAACAATGTACAAAACTTCACAGATAATTCTAAGATTTTGTCAAATTCAAACTATTAATTCGATCACACAGTGTATTTTTACTCGTACATTTGGGTTCAAAATTCATGCAAGTACTGCTACAATCAATACCTATTAGATTTACAGCAATCAATAAAAGTGATGATAACAAATAATAAAGGACATTTCGTCACTTCAGGTACAATGGTTTCCTGCTCACACTACTACTGCAGCAGAGATTTCAGTCCTAGAGAGGTGATGGATCTAAAACCATCAAAGTTGCTAGCATCAAATTATGACGCCTTTCCAAAGATTCAAATACTAATACTACGTCGGTGTGAGCTTCCATGCTGCAGTTGATCCTACACAACCATACACTCTAACTTACCTGATCCAGCCGTATTGCGTGTTATGAATCTTCGTCCTAATTTTATTGTGTTAGAATGTGCGGTTAATGTGGCTGTGTTATAATAAAGTGTTCAAGTGTACAATTTTACAATAGTTAAGCTCGTGACAGGATAAGCATGCAGATTTACATGGCCACCTAATAATGAATAAACATTAACAATATCTTCAACAGGGAGAGGACAAAATTATGTAAAAAAAATCTGCTCCTTGCATACTTTTCTTGAACGGGCATTCTAAGGAATGCAATAAACCAAGGGAAAAGAAACGGAAAATGTTCATAATACGGCACATCACAGTTAATAGGCGACTTTGACAAGAGCTTTGTTTGCATTTTGATAAAAAAATATAACTCAGTACTCACTGCAGTGAGTGACAGAGAGCGCATTTTCTCGTCGGCGAAAACTTGAGGTCACGGACGGACGGACAGACAGACACGGCGAGCACAATAGTGCAGGTTTTTTCCATAAATGAGAAAATGCGCTAAAAAAACATTTTGCAGTGAACCAACCTGAGTTTTTACTTTCAGGTATGAGGTGCGCAATGCTCTTCATGACGGTGAAGTAGGGCCAGGCTTGTCGCAGGTATCCACTCACGCCAACCTCGTTCAGTTCCTGATACTTGTTCCATAAATAGTTCCACTTCTTGCGTGCTTGGTGAGGCTTGAAGGTTGAGGACAACCCCAACTCAGACAGGATGGAGCTGCTCCGATTTAACAAAATATATTACAGCCAAACACTTTTAATCATAGTGACAAAACACAGATTATTTAGAATCAGTTCATTTTAAAATTTCCTCATTTACTCAGAATTTAAACAATTTCTTATTTATGATAATATGATAATGCAGGTTATACAGTAATCCAGGATACTTTAGGACTGGTCTACATATAGGACTCAAAAATGAACTTGAGGGAGAGTCTAAAAAACTCTCTGCTTTGCCACTATGCTTTACTTGTCTACTTATAGGACTCAAAAATGAACTTGAGGGAGAGTCTAAAAATACTCTCTGCTTTGCCACTATGCTTTTAATACCTATTTCTATATAGTATTGCAAACATGTTATCCTATTTCATAAGGAAATGATAGCATTCTAATACATCTATTATCTATAAAGTAGTTGGAACCAAGAAGAAATCAGTTGGCTCATTTGCAAATAAAATTTCATTACTGTATACACACACCTGTACATGGCGGAGCAGTTTTTTGTTTCTTTACAATAGGCAGCCCTCAATTGGATGAATTTAATTACAACAGGTCGAGTCCCTGCAAAAAAAAAAATTACTCAAAATTTTTACCAATAGCAGAATCATCCCAACTTAATTTGTAAGTTTTAATGTAATATAAAAATAAAATCAGGCTGAAAGGCTAGTCACACTTTTTCAATCAATAAAGATAACAAAATAGAAAAAAATAAACTGTAATGCTGGACATAGATTAAAATAAAACATGAACTCACAAATTTGCTCAGGCTGATGAGAAGGAGATGTGTGAAGAATTCTCTCAGGTTCCCAACACTGAGCAAGAGCATCAAGTGCATTGGTCATGCTGTCGTAGAAAGCCCAACCATGGCTGCCGTCTGTACAATAGCTACTAATTTCTTTATGCTTGGCAACAAGGTAGTTCCATTTCTTCCTCAAATGCGTAGGTGTCAATATTCGAGCAATGCCCAGCTCTTTCAATATTGCTGAATAAGTGTGCTGCACTCCATATTTTAAGAAATCTTGTTTTTTGCTCACTCGAAGCTCAATAAATTTTTCTGTCAGTTCATTGGGCCACAGAAACTCAGGAGAAGCCCGGCTTTTCAGCTTTGATGTATCAAGGCCAGCAAAAGTGTTCATAACAACAGCCATGTCATTCATGAGTGCCCATGAGCGTTCACCCCCCGCAGCATATTCATCCTGGTACCTATTGACAAGGTAGTTCCATTTCTTCCTAGCCATCATAACAGTTACTCGGTCATCAATACCAAGATCACGCAGAACTTCCTGGTACACAGCAGTATGACCTTTGATAGGAATTTCTGAATGCTTATTGGTACGCATCTGAATGAAGCGCCTGGTGATGTCAAGAGACCAAGTAAATTCTGGGCTCTTTCTTTTGTGGCGGACAATTGAACACATTTTTGTTTCAGAATTTACAGAGTTATTTTCAGAAATACATGAGGAAATTTCAGAGGATTCTGCTGCCTGTAATTGCACAAACAAAGCAGACTTGCGTGCTTCCAGGCTGGAGATGTCAGTTTTAGCAGCTAGTATTGCATATATTTGGTTAAGTTGCTTCCATTTGTGTTCTAGTTCGCGCCACATAATGGAATCATCTAATTCTAGTTCATTTTTAAGTTCTTCATAAAGTAAAGGATGATTACTGGAGTCCTGCCATCTGAATTTATCACTATGAAGAGAGATAAACTTGAGTAAAACCTCTTCAGTCCAGACAGAATCAATGCAGGACTCCAGAAAAACATCATTTTGGGTATCTTCAATGAACTGTACTTTATCCATCCTAATCTCACACATATCTTCCTGTTTTTTGTGGAGGATTGTCTGCATTGCACTCTTGCTCCTGTCATCCTGTGATGAGTTGGCAATGTCCGGCTGCTGATAATAATTGTCATCATGTGAATTAACAGCAGTAGGTCCATCATTACATGCTCTGCTGCTGGTAACTTGAAAACTTTGAACAGCTCCATACTCATGAGGCATTTGGCTTTTTCCATCCAATGTTTCGCTGGTCAGAACATTTATAGCTTCAACAATTGGTTCATCAAATTCCAGCATAACTTGCTCATCCACAATTTGAACAACTTGACTAGAGTTCATCTTAATAACATTTTATGCTTTAAAGCGTAACATAATTAACAGTTTATGAGGGCCAGGGAGAAAGGTAGTCTCAGAGTAGTCTCTTGTGTAAGCAAACTATAAGGAATACCGTACTTCAATTTAAATTGCTTTTGAGCATCAGAAAATTTTCAGTTTCCTTTCTAAACAACTCATAACTCTGAAAAAAAAAACAATTGCATAAAATATTATTCAATGGTACACAAATCCATAACAACATTATGGTACTATTTATTGTCTATACATGGGACAAGGAAATCCTAATTCTTAACCCATTGTTGCCAGGGGACAAGCTTATTCTTCAGCCCAACCATCTGTTTTCTGCCTTGTATTGCTTACATGGTTATACTTATAAGTAATTTTTTTGGCTGGCAAATTCATGATCATTTTTAAACTCATGTGATGATGGGAACATCAATTAAATACAGAGCAACTGAAGTCAGCAATTCCTTAATGAATAACATTTACTTAATTCTTGCAAACTTGCTCCATAAATTTCACATACTAGGTTCTAAAATGGGATTAACAAGCACACTACCTCTATATACAATATTTCACAGCTATCTGCTTCAATTGTTCCCTTGTATTGAAATGAACCATATTCTTTCTCCAGTAAAAGCTATAGTTTTCAATTCACCTACACTTGAATTAAAGTTGTTGCCTAACCAAACATGAAGGCAATGAGTTAAAATCACTTGCAACATGAGACTTCTGCCCATCAACATAGGCTGCTATCATCAGAATAATGCATTGAATTGAATGCATTGAAATAGTATAAAATTGAACTGACAACAAATTTGCTGCATCTTAATTGAAAATGTTTGAGAACAGTTTGTGGTGAGCCCCTTTTATGTTCTGCAGGTAGTAGTGTAACATTAAGTTCCCTAACAAAATTCGGGGACCGCCTAGGCTTCGGCCGAATAGTCACTACACTCGGCCAGGGTTGGCAATGATTAAATCAAAATGATTAAATCATGTGATTAAATCACTTGATTTTTTTATAAAAAATCATGATTTTTTTTATTTTTTGATTTTTTCATATATTTAAATATATTGAGTGGCAGTCTTTAATTTATATTGAGGTATTGTTATTCATGGTTTAGTATAAATGTACTATGAATGACAAATTGGTATATAAACTTGCCTTTAGTGTGTATTAGGTTCCAATAAATTGAATGTTTTTGGTACAGAGGCATCAAGTGTGCAATACATTGTACGTAGCTAGCAGCTTAGCTAATTCTTATAAGGCTATAAGTAGTCTTTGACTAACTATTTGAATATTTGTTATATATTGATTACAATATACAATTAACATGTGTTAGCTTTTCAGCTAGCTTATACAGGGTGGGGCAGAACTGATTGAACAGTTTTAAGGTGAAATAAAAAAAGTAATGGAGTACATAAAGAAGAAAGTTTATTTTCCTCAAGATTAGCATAGCATACCATTTAGAATACTTATGTTTTGAAAACAATATCAGGAAGATGGTGTCTGTTAGCTGCATCACACTGTTGGAGTCATTCTCAGAAGTTTCCTACAGCACGTTCACACATATGGCAAGGTATGACCATAACCTCTGCTGCAATAATCAGTCCCCTTAGCTGTGGAAAGGTGTGAGGGCAACTTCTGAACACCCTTTCTTTTAGATGTCCCCAAAGAAAGAAATCACAAATGCTCAAATCAGGTGACCTCGCAGGCCACTGTAAATCACCCCTCAGAGACACCAGACGTCCGGGAAACATGCATTTCAAAACATTGAGTGACATTCGGGCTGTGTGAGCTGTAGCCCCATCCTGCTGGAACCACACGTCTCTCAATGCTTCATTTTCAACAACGTTTTCCATCATGGGCTGCAAGAAATTTTGCAACATTGCAGCATAGCAATAGCAACAGTGTGTTGCAGCTAACGTCCCCCATCTTCCAGATATTGTTTTCAAAACATGAGTATTCTAAATGGTATGTTATGCTAACCTCTAGGAAAACAAACTTTCTTCTTTATGTACCTCCATTACTCCTTTTTTTTATTCGCATAGCCGTTGTTTACCAGAATTTGCTTGCAGGTCTGGAGTTCAGTTCTCAAGTCACTGGCCGATGTACAGGTTTTAAATGCTCTGTGTATTAAGGCGCGAATAGTGCTGGTTTTGTATCTCTGGGGACATTCACTTACTTCGTTCAGTACTCTTCCGACGTCAGTAGGAGTACTCTTATTATTTATCTTCAGTACTCTTATTATTTTCTCGACGTACTCTTCGCCGAATCGAGAAAAATAATAAGAAAATTGTCAATAAGAAATACTCTCTGGTCTTCAATGAAACCTGCATTAAAGAACAGCTTCTGCCAAACTACACAATATTTGAATTGTGCACATGTTCATTTCAAACAGTATTAGATTTTCTCATAATTTAAGTCTAGCTTCAAGTCGTTTGAGAATTGTTTGGTTATCGTTCAGTTTATGTTTAGTATTGGTTTATTGGTCAGAATTAAATGGGAACAGCGCTGTCAGTCACTCAGTCACTAATAGATGGTGTGTATAGAGGGTAGAGTAGGGTAGATTTATAGGACATAAAACTAGTAGATCTATTGATAGTGCTGTGCACTGTGCTATCAGCTACCTATCTGTTATGTGACTCTTCAATGTTTAGAAGATCTTCATTCCTGAAGTATTTCTGTATATTGAAGCCAGTTAAATGGTCAATATTTAGCTCATTACCTTGCTCCATACAAACTTTACAAAGCTAATGAATAGACTTACCAATAATTGTTTACCCAAAAATCCCTAAGTGGTAAACACTACCTTGGCCTGTTGGCATTATTGAAGGCAATAAGTGCCCTTTTTAGCCATCCATTATGATCCATAAACCGTTATTGTTAACAGGCTAATTGCAACATAGAAAATAACACTTCAAAAAGACAAAAAAGCTGAAAAAATAAAAAAATCAAATAAATAAAAAAATCATGAAAAAATAAAAAAAATCATTGATTTTTTTTATTTTTTTTAAAAAATCAAAAAAATCGCCAACCCTGCACTCAGCGCAAAGTTATTCTGGGTCAGTTGGCCAACTGATCGCAATCAGCGACTAGTCAGAACCTCCTTGCCGACTTTATGGTCTCCTGAGAGTAGGGCAAAAGTTGGCAGAATCCCCTCAGTCCCCTCACCAGGCTCTGGTAGCTGTCTGATTTGGGGACCGGAATGTAGACCAAAAAGCGGACATAGAGAAGCTGATTTACGTTCGGTCCGAGTCCTAGGCGGTTCCTAATTCAGGCTCACCACCAACTAAAAATTTTGATAGGGTTATGCATCATATGTTCTGTAGCATCACTCATGTCACCTCCCTTTATGTCATTGTAGTGAGTAGGTATATACGAGTGCCTTAAGGATCCCATGAGCCAGTCGCAGTACAGCCTCTATAAGCATCCACATAGGTAAGTTAGCTGGTCCCAACACTTGACTGCTTCACTTGCAATTGTGTTACTCTAGCTACCTTATCCATTCCTGTATTAATACCTTGCTGTGCTTTGCCATAAATAATTAATAGTTTAGAGTTGCCACTCAATTCATTTTTCTTATTATATCAATTGAACAATAATACAAACTGGAAGTAACTCAGACATTTTAATTTAATTAAAAATTGTACCAAGGGTCACTGGAAAGACACACGGAATTTTTTTTAACACTTTGACTACGATTGCTTAATCTTGTACTATTATTTCATTTTTTGTACCATTTTTAAACAGGGTTGCCAGACGGTCATTTTTTCTGGGCAAATTCCGTGATTTAGTTTTTCTCAATTGCGTAGGCTGGCTAAAATTTATGATAGGGGTGCTTCCTAATTAAATTTCAAATACTGCAAAAAGAAAAGATATGGAACTTTTATAGCGGAACCTACAAATAAACTAGTATAAATTGAGTTATCGGCCTTTTTTGGCCTCTTTTGTTCTTGGATTTGGCCGATTTTAAGCAACCTGAATTATGTACTACATGATGACCGGGCCCTATACTTTAAAAAAAGTTAAGAGATCGTAAGTTACTCCGCCAATCTACTACGTCCTGGAGAAATACATTTTGTGGTATGCATATTTACCACTTTGGAGTCAACGTGTTAATGGAAGTAGGATATTTCTACTAGAGGTCCATGCAAACCCCCTTTCCTAAGGTGCAAAGTAAAGTAAAAGTATTAAAGATAAGAGTAGGTACCACTATGAGTAAAAATTGTAAGTATACCACATACAAATCATTCACTTAATTATATTAAAGTTCTTGTATTTCTGCTATAAGAATGAATTAGTGCACTCCTGAGGATAATCATGTTTAAAAAAAATTTTTTTGTTTCAGACTGGGTAATGGCTTGCAAACTTATAAGTCAAACTTATATCAAAGTTTGGTTAATAAATAAATTTGTATATTGTACATGCTTACAACAATGACTATAGTTCTATGGTAACCACATTCAAGCAGGCTCAATGAGACAAGAGGACATTCAAGCATGCTTGTTGTCCTCATGGAGTGATGGTGTGCACACTTAAACTGATATGTGAATTATGCCAAATTTTCTTGGGAAACCAACTAGCTCAATTTCTTGAAGCAAAGACATGCATGGCTAAAATATTGAAATTAAATTGTCAGTAAAATTCAAGATTAGGTAGTTTTTTGGTCCTAGTTTTGATAGTCATTTAGCAAGCTGTTATAGATCCTAAATCTAATATTTTTGGAGATAGGAAGGAATTTTGATAATTATTAGATAACTATCAAGTACAAAATTTCCCTGGAACTTTCAAATAATTTTAACAATGCATTTAGAGATTTCATTATGCACAAAGAAATGTTCACCTAATTTTTTATGCAATTGCAGTAATTGTAAAGCTGTGATATTTGTTACATCCAAATATTTGTTATTTTTCTTTTGCAGGCCATGAGATTTTGGCTCGGTGAATCTTTTATCTGCACTTGTTTCAAAAGTAGAGATTATTTAATTTTTGGACTTCAATGATTCAATTCAGCAATTGATAGTTTTATTATTTTATTTGCAGCCAAACAACCAAAAGGCCTAAGTTGAAAATTGCAAGAATCTCTTCAAAAAGCAATGCCAAAACTGTAATCCAGCAGTTCCTAGTTCTTATTGGAAGAGAAAATCCAAAATATATATAA